TCTGGGGCCTCAGTGGACAGCGTGGTGGGGCCTCTGTTGGCGCGTTCGGGGCCTCTGGGCTGCGTCTGGGGCCTCAGTGGGCAGCGTGGCGGGGCCTCTGTGGGCAGTGTGGTGGGGCCTCAATGGGCGCGTTCGGGGCCTCTGTGGGCTGCGTCTGGGGCATCAGTGGGCAGCGGGGTGGGGCCTCTGTGGGCGCGTTCGGGGCCTTTGTGGGCGGGGCGTGGGGCCTCAGTGGGCAGCGTGGCGGGGCCTCTGTTGGCGCGTTCGGGGCTTCTGTTGGCTGCGCCAGGGGCCTCAGTGGGCAGCGTGGCGGGGCATCCGTGGGCGCGTTCGCAGCCTCTGTGGGCTGGCTTTGGGGCCTGAGTGGGCAACTTGGCGGGACCTTTGTGGGCGCGCTCGGGGCCTTTGTGGGCTGCGTCAGGGGCCTCTGTGGGCAGCGTGGCGGGGCCTCACTCGGCGCGTCTGAGGCGCGACCCGTTGTTGTTGTAGCTGGGGGCCCAGGGGGACAGTTTGGCCCGGATGACTTCTCCTGCTAAATGAACGAGGCGCGAGCGTCGAGGGGCGCATTTTGATTCAGGAAAAAGAGTGCGCCCTGGTGGGGGGGAACAACAGAAATCATTCTTCAGGAATGAAAGTTCAACATCAGCTGACGCGCGAGGGAGAGGGAATCGGAAGGAGGGGTGGGGCGGCCCGGGAAGAGGGAGCAGGAAGGTGAGAGGGCGAACGTTCGAAGAATTCCTGGGCGAAAGCGCCATTCCACAAGGAAGTCTGGGCGGCAGCCCACGACGGGCGGGCGATCCTCTGACGGGCGGGCTGGGCGGGTGGGACATTCAAGCGGGATGCCTGAGTCGGGCGAGAGCGCGATTCCTAAGTGAAGTGTGGCGGCGTCCTTGGCGCGAGCGTGGTGCCTGAGCGTAGATTGCGCGATTTCTGGGTAAACTGCGAAAAAGTCACAGGCGAGAGCACAATTCCTGAAAAGGGGATGTCTGGCGGGAGCGGGGGGTTACATTAAAGCGCAAGGAAATCTGAAGCGGGAGCGCCGTTCTTGAGTAAATTGTGAGGAAGCCTCAGACGGGAGGGGGGTCATGACTAAATTGCGAGGAGGTCACAAGCGGGAGCGCCGATCCTGAGTAAATTGGGGGAAGTCTCAGGCAGGAGCGGGGGTCCTGAGTAAAGTTCGAGGAAATCTCAAGCGCGAGCCGTTGTCGTTGTAGTCCGGGGGAGCAATAACGCAGGTGGACCCAGACAAAGTTGTGAGGAAGTCTCAAGCGGGAGCGCCGTTCCTGAGTAAATTGGGAGGGAGTCTCAGACGGGAGGGGGGGTCCTGATCAAATTTGGAGGAAGTCTCAGACGGGAGCCGTTGTTGTTGCAGTCCGGGGGGCCAGGGGCAGAGTTTGACCAGGAAGACTTTCCCTGACAAAAAGCACGGTGCGAGCGTCGAAGGGCACACATTGGTTCAGAAAAACCATATGCACCGGTGAGGGAGGATCCACAATAATCATTTTCAGAAATGAGAATTCAACAACAACAACAACAACAACAACAACAACAACAACAACAACAACAACAACAACAACAACAACAATTACTAGCACGTGGGGACACTCCGTTCTCACCAGTGCCAGGGTTTTCATAGGAGGCGGGCAATACCCCCACTTTGTGGGGGGGCCGGTTCAAGCTCTACCAAATTTCCAAACGACTCTTCGCCACCACCCACACCCAGCTTCCCGCCCTATGACGTTCGGACACTTCACTTCGTGGCATGCGGACGACCGTGGCTACTATTCAGGGCCCCGCGGCCGACGACGACGGCGTGCGCGCGCGAAGAAAAAACGAATGTGTCCCGCATGGTATTATTTGACAGGGATGATGGCCCTGGCAGGTGCGCAACCGTTGTTGCAGAAGTTCGAAAAAGTTGCTCGCAAAAGCCCGTTTGACAGAAATGTTTAAAAAGTGTTGGGTTTCCTACGAATCCGCAAGAGCGCGCGGGATGAAATTTTGACAATTTTTTTTTGAAAAAACCATTGGTTTTTTGATGTTTTTATGTTAAAATCGCTACGAAAACTAAGGTTTTGGAAGGATTTCGTCTTGCGCGCGCGAATGTCCACTTTACCTTATTTTTTGCAAGGGATTCTTGAAGTTTGGTTATGTTAGAACAAGAAATGTCCACTTTAGCTTATTTTTTGCAAGGGAAAACCGATCGTAACAACACAACCGGATCCGGACTCCCCCGTTTTGCCTGAGACTTCTTCACGAAAATGATGAAAATGAGGCTGCGGCCTAGGCGCGGCGGGGGGGTCGTGCACCAGGGGCCCCAACAATAATTATTCTTTAGAAGTAATAATGTTCAACAACAACAACAACAACAACAACAACAACAACAACAACAACAACAACAACAACAGCAACAGCAACAGCAACAGCAACAGCAACAAAAACAACAACACAACGGCTTTCGCTTGATATTTCCTCGCAGCCGATTGAAGAATCGCGCTCTCGCGCGGGATTTCTTCACAAGTTATGTAGGAGTCGCGCTCTCCCGTGGGACTTCCTCGCAATTAATTCAGACGATGCGCCCTCGGCGTTCAGGAATCACGCTCTCGCTTTGACCTTTCTTTGACTTACATGGGAATCGCGCTATCGCTCGGGACTTCCTTGCGATTAGTGCAGGACCCACGCTTCAGCAACACGCCTGCTCGACCTGGTCGCCTGGCCCGCTTTCCCGACCCGCTCGCTATGGGTTTGCCCACTAGATCTGCCCGTCTGGTTCTACCATTTGTGTTTTGTTCCTTGCCCCCGTCTTGCTAATTTCTCTCGTGTTCCATCGTTTTGCCTCCCCCTTTTCCACCCGTCCTTTCTTACCCTGTTTTCGGGGCTGCACTAAAATGCACGTGGCAGGTAAGGAAGATATACCCCCAAGGGGGCACGATCGAAGACGACAAGAGCGGGTACCGAGGATTCGGGGTATACGTATTGGATGGCACTCGAGCGTGTAGAAGAAAACAGCATTAAAATCATCAGCCTGGCGAAAGACCCAACCATAAGCAGTTGTGAGTACCGCAATTGTGAATATCTTCTTCGGTGGCGCTCCCGATGGGGCCACGCAGCGCTGTACTGGGTGGGTGAAACGCAGGGAGCAAGGGCCGTGTTGGGCGGTGGCAGACGCATGCGGGCGGTGCTACTGAGACCTTCGGTGGAGCTCCCTATGGGACCAACAAACGCTGTACTGGGTGGGTGAAACGCAGGGAGCAAGGGCTGTGCTGGGTGGTGGCGGACGCATGCGGGCGGTGCCACTGGGACCTTCGGTGGAGCCCCCTTATGGGGCCACGAAGCGCTGTTTTGGGTGGGCGAAACGCAGGGAGCAAGGGCTGTGCTGGGTGGTGGCGGACGCATGCGGGCGGTGCCACTGAGACCTTCGGTGGAGCTCCCTATGGGGCCACGGAACGCTGTACTGGGTGGGTGAAACGCAAGGAGCAAGGGCTGTGCTGGGTGGTGGCGGACGCATGCGGGCGGTGCCACCGGGAACTTCCGTAGAGCCCCTTTTATCGGGCCACGAAACGTTATATTGGGTGGGTGAAACGCAGGGAGCAATGGCTGTACTGGGTGGTGGCGGACGCATGCGGGCGGTGCCACTGGGACCTTCGGTGGAGCCCCTTTTATGGGGCCACGGAACGCTGTAGTGGGTGGGTGAAACGCAGGGAGCAAGGGCTGTGCTGGTTGTAGCGGACGCATGCGGGCGGTGCCACTGAGACCTTCGGTGGAGCCCCCTTTATGGGGCCACGGAACGCTGTACTGGGTGGGTGAAACGCAGGGAGCAAGGGCTGTGCTGGGTGGTGGCGGACGCATGCGGGCGGTGCCACTGGGACCTTCGGTGGAGCCCCTTTATGGGGCCACGAAGCGTTATATTGGGTGGGTGAAGCGCAGGGAGCAAGGGCTGTGCTGGGTGGTGGCGGACGCATGCGGGCGGTGCCACTGAGACCTTCGGTGGAGCCCCCTATGGGGCCACGAAGCGATGTACTGGGTGGGCGAAACGCATGGAAGAAGAGGAGGGAGGGGAGGAGGGGGAGGAGGAGGAGAGGAGAAGAGGAACGCGGGGACCGTCTCTTCAAAACGAGGACCCAGCACCACAGGATGGTTAGGAATTGTTGTTGGTAGTGGTGGTGGCAGTGGTGTTGTTGTTGGTGCTGCTGCTGTTGTTGTTGGTGGTGGTGTTGTTGTTGCTGTTGTCGTCGTCCCCCCCGCGACCTGGCCCGCGACCCACCCGAGACCCACCCACAACCCACCCGCGACCCACCCCGCGACCCACCCTGCAACCCACCCGCGACCCAACCGCGACCCACCCCGCGACCCGCCCGCGACCCACCCGCGACCCGCCCGCGACCCACCCGCGACCCACCCGCGACCCACACCGGGACCCACCCACATTGCTTGAACGAAACAATCGGCGCCTGCGGCGGGCTCACGGCATACTTTGTAAAAGTTTGGCGCCTGCGGCGGGCTCCTTTAGAGCCTCGCAGACTGCCGACGTCCTTGCCGCCTCTCTCACTGCTATCCGCAGCTGCGGTTTGCTGTGTGACTTGCTGTCTCGTAGTATCCAAACTCTCCGTGATCAGACTGATTTTTCTGTTGGCGTTCCGCGAATCCCCACCAGTCCGTCCAGAATCGATCCGCACGAGAGCTACCGTGCTGCCCCCGGGGGGGTCCTCCGAAGGAGGAGGCCCTCCTGAAGAGGCAGCCGTTGTCGGGGCCCCGGGGAGGAGAAGGGGGCCAGGAGCCCAGCAGGCACCACACTGGAGCACGGCTTTCGGGGGGCGCTGGAAGGAGGCGTGGTCGGGGGGCGGGGGAGGGAGGAGGGGGCGCGGGAAGGCGGAGGGAGAGGGGGAGGGGAAGGGGGAGGTGGAGGGGGGGCAAGCCAAGCGTGCAGGCCGCGAATGTCGCACTGCACGCAACATTCGGCCAGCCGCGCACCAAGGGTGACTACTGCGCGCGGTCGGTCACAGGACATCGTGAAGCTGCGCGAGTTCACCAAGTACCGCCTCGAGATGCTGGAGGAGCACTTGATCTACAACCAGAGGACTATTCTTCTGGTCTTCGTTCGCTCACTCCTCCTCCCTCCCTCCCTCCTGCGCCACCCCTCCCTCTCGTTTCTACTCCCCCCTCCCTCCTCCTCGTCCCTCCTCTCCCTCCCTCTCCTCCTTCCTCCCCCTCCTCCCCCTCCTCCCCCTGCTTGATCATCCCAGCTTCGGCTGGTATGGTGCCAGGGGGCGGGGCCAGTTCGGCTGGCGGTGGTTCCTCCTCCTCCTCCTCCTCCTCCTCCTCCTCCTCCTCCTCCTCCTCCTCCTCCTCCTCCTCCTCCTCCTCCTCCTCCTCATCATCAGCAGCAGCAGCAGCAGCATCAGCATCAGCATCAGCATCAGCATCGTCGTCATCATCAGCATCAGCATCAGCATCATCGTCATCCTCGTCATCAGTACCGTCGTCATCATCAACATCATCAGCAGCATCAGCATCAGCAGCGTCAGCATCATCGTCTTCATCATCAGCATCATCATCATCCTCATCATCACCATCATCACAGTCATCATCATCACCGTCATCATCATCCGTCCCGCCTTCCGCCTCCCTCTCTGCTGCAGCCGCGCCCGCCCCGCTTCGCCCCCGATGGCCGTCTCGCACCAGGCTCCTCAATTTCCCAGGTCTCTGAAGGCACCCCTTCAGGGCCAAGCAGCCTCCACAGATGGAAGCATCCTCCTCCTCCTCCTCCTTCTCCAGTCCTTCTCCTCCTCCTCCTCCTCCTCCTCCTCCTCCTCCTCCTCCCTCCTCCTCCTCCTCCTCCTCCTCCTCCTCCTCCTCCATTCCTCATCCTCCTCCTCCTCCTCCTCCTCCTTCCTCCTCTCCTCCTCCTCCTCCTCCTCCTCCTCCTCCTCCTCCTCCTCCTCCTCCTCCTCCTCCTCCATTCCTCCCCCTGTGCATTGCGATGCGGCAGCCCGTGAACGTAGCCCCGAGCCTGGTGATGCCGACGCTGCCGACGGTGGCGCTCATGTTGACCACAGGCCTGGCGCTGGCGCTCCTGATGGCCCTGTGCATGTCGAAGCGGCCGCCCGTGAACGTAGCCCTGAGCAGTGTGATGATGTTGACGCCGACGGTGGCACTCATGATGCCCACGTGCATGGCGCTGCAGCTGCCCGTGAGCGTAGCCCTGAGCCGTGTGTTGCTGACGCCGCCGACGGTGGCGCTCACGAATTCCCTGTGCCTGGCGCTGCAGCAGCACGCGTCCGTCGCCCTGAGCCTGGTGATGCCGACGCTGCCGATGGTGACGCTCATTATGATCATGTGCATGGCGCTGGCGCTCAAGATGACCGCATGATGGCCCTCATGATGGCCTTGCGCATGATGCTGCGGCAGCCGGTGAACGTAGCCCTGTGCGTCGTGATGCTGACGCCGCCGATGGTGCCGCTCATGATGTCCTTGTGCTTCGCGCTGCGGAAGCCCGTGAACGTAGCCCTGAGCCTTGCGTCGCCGACGTCGTCGACGGTGGCGCTCAGGACTACCCTGTGCATGGTGATGCGGCAGCCCGTGCTCGACGCCCTGAGCCTGGTGATGCCGACGCCGCCGACGGTGGCGCTGATGAACTGGGCCCTCATCATGATAGCGATCCCGATGCCGCCTTCGTGGCGACCTTCCCGAACATGATCGTCCCGACCCTGATTGTGGAGTTGCTGCTGCTGCCCACACCGACTGGGCGGTCCCTGGTGCCCCGTACCTGCGGCGCTCGGACATCCTCCAGCTCAGTGGATGCAGCTCGTCTCACCACGGTCTTGCTGATGAATTGGTTTGCGCTGCCGCGGCGCCTCTGCATGAAGCCCCTGGATGCGACCTCTCCCAGCCCCCCATCGACGTGATCGCGACGATGCTGAGTAGGCTGGAGGAGGCATCCCGTGAATGTAGCCCCGCTGTCGCGGCTAGCCTAGTGCCCCCCGACAAGCCCTCCCCACCCCGCTCTCCATTGCCTCCCGTCCCTGCTTTCCCGCTTTCCCGAGTGTCCCGCACGACCTACAATCCGTTCCCCGTGTATGGCCCCATGTTCACTGCAGCACGGGTGTTGCCAGAGCGGCCGAGCGTCCATCCCCGAGTAACGGTACCCGCACTCCTCCTCCGCTCCCCATCCTCGCCCTGCTCCCCCTCCTCCTCCTCCTCCTCCTCCTCCTCCTCCTCCTCCTCCTCCTCCTCCTCCTCCTCCTCCTCCTCCTCCTCCCTCCTCCTCCTCCTCCTCCTCATCCTCCTCCTCCTCCTCCTCCTCCTCCCCCTCCTCCTCCCCTCCTCCTCCTCCTCCTCCTCCTCCTCCTCCTCCTCCTCCTCCTCCTCCTCCCCTCCTCCTCCTCCTCCCCCTCCTCCTCCTCCTCCTCCTCTTCCCCCTTCTCCTCCTTCTCCCGGAGAGGATGCTGTTCGAGCTCGTCGAGCGCGTTGGCGCGCAGGCCTTCCTGGCCGCCCACCCGAGCGGCCCCTGCGGCTCGCCCGCCGACCCTGGGGAGGCGCCGCCCGCCGCCGAGCTCGGCGGCGCCCTCGCCGTCTGTCACTTGCGGCGTCGTCGTCTTCCTCGCCCTCGCCCTCGCCCTCGCCCTCGCCTTCCACGACGACGACGACGACGACGACGACGACGACGACGACGACGACGACGGCTGGTTTTCGGCCGTGTTCGGCCTGCCGGGGCCCACGGAGGGTACCGGACGCCCGCGAGCGCCCACGGAGGCGCCCACGGGCGGGCCCGGGGCGCCCACGAGGCGGCGCCCTCGGCGGAACCCACCCAGGGTTAAGTCGGGCCTGTCCCTCTGCAGACGGAATATTCAAAAATAGTCAAAACATAGTCTGGGGAGGATTTTGTTACCAATTTTTGAGTATTTTGTTATTTTTTTACTATTTCATTTTTTGGCTCATTTCTTATTTTTCGTCCAAAATCCCCCTGTAGGGGGACAGGCCCGACGCAAACCCGGGGCGCGAGGGCGCCCGCGAGGCATCCGTGCCCTCTCGGCTGCGGGGCCGGGCCCGAGCACGCAGAGCCGCTGCCGTCGCGCCGCGCGCAGCGGCCAGGGCACCGCGCCCCAGAAGTCGCCCTGGCCCCCTTGCCCAGGGTCGCCCAGGAAGAGGAGGAGGGAGGAGGAGGAGAAGCAGGAGGAGGAGAGGGAGGAGGAGGACTTGGCATCGCTCGGACGTGTGCATTTTTCCTTCTGCGAGGACCATCGAGGAGCATCCTTGATCATTTGGCGAGAAACTCACGCACGAAACCGAGAAAAGACACAGGGAATGGACGTCCGAACGATGGCCAGAGGTCATTCGCCAGACATGGTCGCTTCGTACAGAATCGGGACGGCAAGTGTTGTGGCATCTTCGGCCCCTGGGGGCCCTCGCCTGTCCCCGGGGCCGTCAAAAAAGGGTCAAGGCTTCCAGGGACGCCGCACTGAAAAAATCAGGGCGTCGCATGTCTGGGCTCTTGTCTCTTGCCTGGGACCCTCTTACGTGCAGCCGAGTCTGTCGTTCCCCGATCTCCGGCGATCCGCACATGGTTTTTGTCCGCCGGCGGTGTTTCCTAGATCTCGGCCTCTTGGGGCCCGCGTTCGGTCCTCGTCGTCGTCGAGCTCGAGCTCGAGCTCATCGCCGTCGAGCGCGTCGTCGCCTGTCATCCCTCGGCCGAGCGAGGTTCGAGCAAGCGTTACCCCGCGTTCGTCCTCCAGGGTCCGGCCTCGGGCCCCCGCGGCCATCCAGGATCGCCTGTCCTTCCCCGATCTCTGGCGATGCGATGCTTGCCCGCCAGCGGCCCAGATGTCGGCATTCCTCCTCCTCCTCCTCCTCCTCCTCCTCCTCTCCTCCTCCTCTCCTCATCCTCCTCCTCCTCCTCCTCCGCCTCCCCGCCGTCCTCCTCTTCTTCGTCGGGAGAGGCCGTCGCCTGCTGGCTCGCCGGGGGGGGGGGGGCTTGTCACCTGCTAGCTCGAGCGGGGGGCCTGTCACTTTCAGGATGAAAAAATACACACAGACAGAACGAATAGTCGATTCTCAGGAACATAGGGGGAAATATGGACAGTAGGGGGGAAGACGAAAACCCAGAAAATATGGAAAAACTTAGTGAATCCTCGGATGTGTGTGTGTATGTATGTGTGTTTGTGGGCCCCTTCGCACTCACCGTGCGCGCTAACGTGCGAGAGGCCCAGCCAGACGAGCTCAGAGGTGGCAGGACTACCCGTCTTCACCCTCGCAGAGGGGGCTATCCCTTTGCGTACCGCCTCCCGCGGGTCTTGACGAGGTTCCCCGGGAGGGGGTGCAGCGTCGAAGGTGGCCCAAGATGGTTCGAAGAAGGCCCGCATCATCATCATCATCATCATCATCATCATCATCATCATCATCATCATCATCATCATCATCATCATCATCATCATCATCATCATCATCATCATCATCATCATCATCATCATCATCATCATCATCATTCTGGGTACCACGGGATTGCTGTCTCCTCGCAGGCGACTGTCGTGACTGCAATGGTCTGTGATCGTTTGTGCTCAAGCTTTTGGTAGCTCCATGGTTCTAGGGGACTGGGCACCTGCGACCGTCGGGCTCCTGCGCGAGGCGATACGCGGTGCCGGCGCTGAGGCGGCCAGGCTGCTGCTCGTGCGGGAGACAGCGGCTCCCTGCCCGTCCTGCCCCCCGTTGCCGGGCTGCCCTTCGCCAGAGCCGGCGAAGTGCCCCGAGCCGCCCGCCTGCCTGGACCTCGGCGTCGTGGTGGCAGCAGTGCGGGCTGAGCGGAGAGAGGGGGAGGAGGCGGCGCTGGGTCTGACAGCGGCCCTGTGTGCGGCCTGCTGGCTGCTGGGCTGGACGTGTGGACGCTGTCGCCGTGAGGGAGCTGGGGGGCGAGGGCTGCGCGAGCATCATGAGTAGTCGTGAGGACCTCATGCCAGGGCGGAGGGCGCTCGTCCGATTCGAGGGGACACCTACTCCCACGAGGGAGTACTCTTGTGGCCGACCCACTTCGACGACAGGTACGAGAGCAGGGTGATCCTCACCGCCGACGATGATTTGTATATCGAGCGGGTGCGAGATTGGACCTGGATCGACGACCTGACCGAGGGGTGGCCGACAGGGCTGCGGGGCGGAGTCGTGAGGTTCAGGGCCCCGCTGACGGCGAACGAGGTGCTGGCGAGGGCCGAGACGAGGCGCTGAAGTACCGGGCCAGGCGTCGGCTGCCGGAGCGCCTTGGCGGGCGGCTGGGCGAGGAGCCGACCGCCTTCCTGGACTGGCGCGGGCGCGAGCTGGTCGACGAGGACAGCGTGCTGAGTCGGGTGCGACGGCAGCTGACCAACCAGGGGGCGAGCTCCGAGCTGCGGCTGGCCGAGGCGAGCGGCGACGAGCTCGCCACGCGGCCCGCGCTGGGATGCGCGGCAGACGGCGGCGCCAGGGGGGTTGGCGGCGAGGCAGGCGCTCTGGCGCCTGCATCGCCGGCTGCGGCCCCTGACGGCCGCGGCGGGCCCGCGCTCGAGGACGGCGTCTACGCGGTGGCGGAGGTGCGGGCCCCCAACGGCATGCAGCTTGGCGACCCCGTCGTCGGTGGGCAGGCCGAGAGCCTGGGCGGCTGCCGGGCCGCGGTGCTGCTCGACGACGGCGCCCGCGTGCTGCGCGAGAGAGTGGCGACGGACGATGTGGAGGAGCGGCGCCGGGCGGCGCATGAGGCAGCGGGCAGGTCCGGCGCTCTGCAGCAGGCCGTGCGCGGCACCGCGGGCCAGGTGGATGACCTGCGGGCAGGGTTCGCCGCGGCCGACGCCGGGGTCGACAAGATCGGAGGCACGGCGACGCCCGTGCCGGAGGCAGAGGTCGAGGGCGACGCGCGGACCCCGTGCGTCGAGTGGACGTCCGAGGGGGTCCGGTTCAAGACGCGGCGGAAGGCCGTGGAGGAAAGCACGCAGCTCACCACGGAGCAGCGTGAGCTCCGCGGCGCGTGCACTTGCTTCCATCTGTGCCGCCGTTTTCTCCAGCACACGGGGGGCCCGAAGATGTGGTTGCTGTCTTTCTGCAGGGAGCACGGGATCTCGTCGCAGCATCGGTCCTACCACGAGCTGACCACGCTGGTGCAGGCGCTATGGCTGGACGAGACCTACGACGGTCTGAACCTGGGAGGCGCCGCTGGAGTCTGTGGCCAGGCGCTTGGCGGCGATCGCGGAGGCGTGGGCTTCCTAGGAGAGCGCGCGCTACCTGGCGGGGGTCGTGGACCCGTTCGACGTCGCGAGCCCCGAGCTCAGGTCGTTCGCGAACAGGGCAGCCAGGGGCGAGGCGGAGCGGCATCTGGCGACGACGAGGGGTCGCGCTGCTGGTGCCCGACTGGGAGTTCGAGGAGACGGGCGCGGCGCTGGCGCTGGGCGGGCTGCCCGGGGCGACGGAGGAAGCCAAGGGCGGCCCCAAGGGCGCGGCGGCAAAGGCTAAGGCCAAGGCAAGGGCCGCCGCCGCCGCTGACAGGGGAAGCACTGCTACGCGGACAACCTGGGCGCGCTGGCGGACGACGAGGACTACGCGCGGCAGGGGCTGACGGCGGTGACCGAGACCTTCGGGGACCAGGGGCTGACGGTCCACGAGACGGAGCTTGCCTGCCAGCGCGGCGTTGCGCTCGGCGTGGAGGTGGGCGGGCAGTTGGGCCGCACTCGGCCCACTGTCAAGAGGTTCTGGCGCGTGAGGCACTCCATCCAGGAGCTGGTGCACCGCGGGGCCTGCTCCAGGCAGGAGCTCGAGGTCCTAGTGGGGCACATGACGTTCGTGGCCCTGATTCGGCGGGAGCTGCCGTCCATCCTGCACGCGACCTACAGGTTCGCGAAGAAGCAGCATTTCACCAGGGCGCCGCTGTGGGAGAGCGCGAGGCAGGAGCTCCTCGCGTTCAGCGGCGCGATGGTGTTCTTGGAGGCGAAGTGGGACGACGAGTGGCTGCCGGGCGTCTACCAGACCGACGAGTCGCCGCGGGGGTTCGGCGTGGCCTACTCGCGGCGGCAGAAGGCGGCAGTCGCCGACGGTGGGCGGGCGCCCGAGCGGGCGCGGTTCCGCCCGGGCGCCGAGGCGGCGAGGAGCCACGCCTTTGCTGCCGCCGGGCTCGAGGAGCAGGAGGACGGGATGGCGCGGGCGACGACCGAGGCCCACCGACGCGGAGGTGCTGAGGTGGGAGCGGGACAAGACGTTCCCTGAGCTGCCAGCCCACCTTTTCCATGGGTCCCTCTGGACCACCGCGATGGCCGACAAGCGGAGGTACCAGGAGGGGCCATCCACCTGGAGGCCCGCAGCCAGCGCGGGCACGATGCGCGGGCCCTGTTCGTGGGAGACAACCTGGCGCTGACCCTGGCGCTGGGCGGGCCCCGATCCAGGGACTTCAAGCTGCTGACCCTCGTTAGGCGAGCTAGTTCGCTGGCCTTGGCTCGAGGCCTGCGACTGTTTTCCGCTGGGCGCCTTCAGAGGTGAACAGCAGCGACAAGGGAAGCCGAGTGTTTGATGAAACGCATGACGAACAGACAGATGCCACTTGGATCGCGTCTTGTGCACCCGCGTCACACGTCGACAAGGGGGTTCCGGATGGAGCTGGCATTGAGGGTCCGAGGGGATGTCCGAGGTGCAAGATCGGGGAGTCTCTGGGCGAGTATCTCGACAAGGTTTTAAACAATCCTGAGCGCGAACGAGGCGAGTGAAAAATGGAGCAGAGCAAAGAGAGAGCAAAGAGCAACGAGAAGAGCGACAAGAGCGAGAGCAAGGAGAGCGAGCAGATGATGAACAACGAGGGCGAGAGACTCGAGTGGAGCGAGAGCAAGAAGCAGCAGTAAGCCTAGAAGATCAGCACGAAGCCAGACAGCGAGCACGACCGTCCGTCATCCACATGGCTCAACCTGGACAGGGACACGCAGGCGCGTCGGGAGAGAACCCTGACCAAGCCCGCGCCAAAGCCCCAGTCTCGCGCGGCCGGGCGATCGCGGACGCTGGCCGGCGCGTCTGGGCGACAGGCTCGGGAGAGGAGCTGGAGCTCGAGGCGTGCCCGAACGCTGACGAGGGCAAGGGCGTCGAGCCTGCCGGGGAGGCTGGAGGCGCCGGCGCTGGAGCCGACCGTCTCGCTGGAGATCGTGGGCAGGCAGGGCCCGCCGCCAGCAGGCGCCGCCTTGACCGTCGAGAACGGCGACAGCGACTCCGCCTCCGAGGAGGCGCCAGCTGGGGCGGACCGCTGGAGCGAGCTGCTGGCCCGACAGCGAGCGCTGCGGCGCGAGGCTCGGATGGCCGATGGGACCGTGACGAGGCTCCCTGGGCAGAGCAACCTGGAGGCCGCCAGCGTGTCCGAGGCCAGTCGAGTCCGATATCGAGACTGCGCGCGAGAGCTCCTGGCCGTCGCCGACCAAGAGAACATGGCGTTATGCGAGGACGACGAGGTGGGCGAGTGTCTCGTGTCGTGGATGAACATGCGGTACCAGCTCGGGGACAGGGCGCGGCGGGGCGAGCACATGGCGGCCGCCCTGATGCACGCCGCCCCGAGCTTCGCGAGAGGAGGGGGCCGGCACCTGCCGCGGACCCTCCAGTGCCTGAAGGGATGGAGGAACCTGTGCCCGAAGCACAGCCGCCGGCCGCTCCCGTGGGCCGTTTGGGCCGCCCTGGCGCTGGAGCTGCTGGGGAGCGGGCAGGGGCGGGCCGGCTTCAGGGTGCTGCTGATGGTAGACGCATACCTGAGGCCGTCGGAGCTGCTGAGTCTCCGACGCGGGTCCCTGGCGCCGCCGGCACACGGAGGGCTCCGAGAGTGGAGCCTGCACCTATTCCCCCAGGAGGAGGCCAAGCGCAGCAAGGTCGGGGGCGCCGACGACACCGTGGTGATGAACTCCGAGCGGATGCGGGGGGCCGACCAAGTCTGGCGTACTTGGCCTCAGGTCCCGCGTAGGAGAGGTTGTTCCCGTGGGACTACCAGCAGTTTGGCAGACTGGTGCAGGGCGCAGGGTAGCGTTTGGGGATCGAGGTGGTGCCGTACCAGGCTCGGCACAGCGGCATCAGCCTCGACAGGGCGTTCCACCTGAGGACCCAAGAGGAGGCTGTGAAGAGAGGAAGGTGGTCATCATTTCGCTTTATCGTGCGCTACGATGCGTAGAGGAAGCTGAATCCAGACGTGCAGGCACACGCCCTCGTCTGCGAGGAGTGCCTGGTCGACGTGTACATGCGAGGGGCCCCCCTGCCAGCGCGTCCGATGTTGTGGAGGCGACGGCGTGCTTCTTGGACCTCTTCTCGGGAGTCGGCGGGGTGGCGCGAGCTGCACGGCTCTGGAGGTTCGAGACCAGAGAATACGACCTCCGAGGGGGCCCTGCAGGGGATCTCCTGAGAAGGCGCGTGCAGGCTCAGGTTCTGACCAGCCTGCGCAGGGGGCGGGCGCTGGCCGTCATGATGGCCCCGCCGTGCACCTCTTTTTCGATTGTCCAGAATTCGTCGTGTCCGATTCGAAGCAAGCAATACCCACGAGGCCTTCCTAGGCTCCCAGCCGACAGGAAGGCGAAGGTAAGGCTGGGGAACCGTTTTCTCGATTTGATAATTCAAGTCGTACGCGTGTGCGTGCGAGAGCGGGTCCCCTTTTGTTTCGAGCTCCCGCAATCCAGCTATATGTGGCACGATGTGACGCTGCGCCACGCTCTAGATACTGCCCACTCGAAAATCTGCGATATCCATCAGTGCCAATTTGGCTCTGTGCACAGGAAGGCCACCAGATTGGCCTTCGGCTTTTGCGATGAGCTAGACCTGGGGAGACTGGGCTGCCCCGTCGAGAGCCGATGCCAGGGCAAGCACGGGTTTTGTTCGGCGACAGGGCACAAGCATGTAGTTGTAGAGGGGTCGCGGGCGACAGCGGCGTCGGTCGCTTACCCTCCTCGGCTGGCCGGCGCCCTGGCCCGGGCTCTTCTCTCAGCATCTGTCTTTCGAAGGGAATCCAACAATTGTTTGTGACGCTGCGCTGAGAACTACCGATTCGGGCCCCTGTCCCAGCACTCGATTCGGTGTGCGTTTTGAATCGATTCTCCTGGCTGTACGATGGGCCTCAAAGCGTTTTTAAACACCAACTATGCAGCAGTAGCGAAAGCCTCGAACCCAAGCCCAGCAACTGAATCGTGCTCCGCTAGCCTCTAGAGGAATACAGCATGATTGTGGGTACCACGGGATTGCTGTCTCCTCGCAGGTGAGTGACTGTCGTGATTGCAATGGTCTGTGATCGTTTGTGCTCAAGCTTCCTATCCCAGCCCCCCCATTTAACACAGGGTGCGCTTTGAATCGATCGTCCTGGCTGCACGATGGGGCTCAAGACCTTGTCAACCACCAGCTATGCAGCAGTAGCGAAAGCCTCGAGCCCAGGTCCAGCAACAGAATCGTGCTCCGCTAGCCTCGTAGAAGAACACAGCATCAGCATCATCATTATCATCATCAGCATCACCACCATCAGCAGCATCATCACCATACGCATTATCATCATCATCATCATCATCATCATCAGATTCCTCCTCCTCCTCCTTGTCCGCTTCCTCCACATCATCAGTACAATTATGATTTTTATCATCATCAACATCATCATCGTCATCAGCAGCACCACCATCGCCATCACCACCACCACCATCAGCATCGCCATCATCATCGACATCAGCATCATCATCATTATCATTATTTTTATCAGCATCAGCATCATCAGCATCACCATCATCATCATCATCATCATCATCATCATCAGCATCATCATCATCATCATCATCATCATCATCATCATCATCATCATCATCATCATCATCATCATCATTAGCATCAGCATCATCGTCGTCGTAGTCGTCATCATCCTCCGCACCATCACAGTCAGCAGCGTAACTACCATCAGCATCAGAATCAGCATCATCATTGTCATCGGACTCGTCATTATCGCCATCACGCTCATTGTAATAATCATCATCAGCAGCAGCATCATGCAGCAGCATCATGATCGTCATCTTCCGCACCATGAGCAGCTTTACCATCCTTATCATCATCATCATCATCATCATCATCATCATCATCATCATCATCATCATCATCATCATCATCATCGTCATCGTCATCATCATCATCATCATCATCATCATCATCATCATCATCATCATCATCATCACCATCATGTACGGCGGCGCCTGTCACCTGTTGGCTTGCCCAGCTGGGCGTGTCACTTGTTGGTTCGCGCATTGGTGGCACGTCCCACCGTCAGCACCATCATCATCAGCATCATGAGCATCAGCATCGTCATTATCATCATCATTATCACCACCATTGTCACCATCATCAGTACCATCATCATCAGCAGCACATTCATGCTCATCATAATCATCATCAGCAGCATCATCAGCATCATCATCAGTATGATCATCATCGTAATCATCATCAACATTACCATCCATCATCAACCATCCGTCTCATCCTCTGTCGGCGTCGTTATCGTCATCGTGAACGTCATCATAGCAGCAGCATCAGCATCATCATCACCGTCATCAGCAGAATCATCATCAGCATTGACATCACAATGATGGAAGGCGGCACCTGTCACCTGTGAGCTCGCTCGGCCGGGCATGTCACATGTTGACTTGCACGACGGTGGCAGGTCCCACCGTCACAATCATCATCCTCATCAGCAGCAGCATCATCATCGTCATCATCAGCATCATCATCAGCGTTATCAGCGTCATCAGCATCATCATCAGTAGGAGCATCATCAGATTCATCGTTGTCATCATCATTACCAGCATCATCACCAGAATCATCATCGTCATCATCGTCATCATCAATACCAGCACAATCATCATCGACGTAATCACCCACATCATGCACGGCGGCGCCTGTCACTTGATAGTTCGTGGGGTTTGGCATGTCACCTGTTAGCTCGCGCGTTGGTGGCAGGTCCCACCGTGCAAGCCAACATGTGAGAGGCCCAGCCAGACGAGTTAGCAGATGGCAAGACTAGCCGTCTTTATCTTCGGGGAAGGTTTTACCTCTTTCCCTCGCGCTCGCGGGGATCTGGACCGGCGCGGCCATCCCCATCATCATATCCTATCCTTCGTCCTTCTCTCCTTGCTCCTCCTCCTCTCCTCCTCCTCCTTTTCCTACTCCTCCTCCTTCTTATCCTCCTCCTCCTCGTCCTCCTCCTCCTTGGTCGTCGTCGCTATCGTCATCGTGAACATCCTGATTTTCATCATCATCAGCATCAGCAGCAGTATCACCATCGCTGTCGTCGTTGTCGTCGTCGTCATCATCAGCATCATCATCATCATCATCATCATCATCATCATCATCATCATCATCATCATCATCATCAGCAGTACCATCATCAAGAGCATGTTCTTCTGCATCATCTTCATCATCATCATCATCGCAATAATTTCAACAACCGTACTCATCGCAATCATCATCATAATCATCATCAGAATCAGCATCATCATAAGCATAATGGTCATCATCATCATCATCATCATCATCATCAGTATCATCATCATATATCATCATCATCATCATCATCAGCATCATCATCATCATCATCATCATCATCAGTATCATCATCATCGTTAGCATCATCGTCGTAAGCGGCGTAGTCATCGTCATCGTTGTCATAGTCAGCATCATCATAGTCGGCATCGCAATCAGCATCATGCATCTGTGTACAGGTTAGTGAGTGTCAGGAGGGGGGCTGGGAAGCGCGGTCTTCCGTAATCATTGTGGTTCTAGGTCTCTCTTGTGTGTATGAGTCTCCTCACGGCATATTTTCACGGGGTGGTCACCAACGTGATAGGCGCCTGGCTCAGCCATTGGGTGGCGCCGCAGCCTCTGCACTGCCACTGCACGGGCTCGGCTGCGGAGCCTGGCCTCATCGAGCTGCTGCAGTCGCAGCTCAACCGGTGCGGGCCCTCGGACCTCGCGCCCGTCTGCGCGCCCTGCCCCGTCTGTCCAGCGCCGGGTTGGGGGAGGGGCGACGTGCTGCTCGCCGGCCTGGTGGGGTTGATCGTCGGCGCGGTGTTTACCACTTGCTGGGCAGGCGTGGGCCTGCCGGTGCGTCGGCTGGCTGCTCCGACCTGGACGGCGCACGGCAAGGGCATCATCGAGACGCCCAGGCCCATCGTCACGCAGATTGCGGACTCGGCTCCTCCAGGGCCTCTGAAGGGCAAGGGCAAGCTCGGGGTGATCGTGCAGGCCTAGCATGGCCTTTCTTGAGGCTGGTTCTTCAGCCTTTCTGTGCTATGTAGGAGATGACCTGTACCACGAGCGCATCATCCTGTGCTGGGTGTCTGCGAGCGAGTATGCGGTGGTCTCTCCAGACCTGGAGATTTTCATTGAACAGATCGACGCAGCCAATGTCGATTTGCAAGGGCTACGGCTGGGCAGTACCGACGGGCGGCTTCCTTTCGGTATGGCTGGCATGCAGGTCTATTGGTTCCAGGTGCGCCCAGCCGGCGTGGACTTGACGCAGCTCCTGGCCGAGGGCGAGCGCCACGCGCAGGTCGAGAGGGCCTCGCGAGGGCTGGCCGCGCCGCCTGGAGCCATTGCCCGCGCTGGCCCGGGAGGAGTGGCCCCTGCGGCCGTTCCGACGCCGCTGCCTGTGGCGGCGCCCCCTGCCCCCGGCGCGGCCGCGGCGCTGCCTCCGCCTCGCCTGGCAGGGCCTGCTGGGGCGTGGGTGCTGGACGAGACCGTGGACACCTTCGTGCTGGGGCAGGAGGTGCCGCTGCCGCCGACAGCGCTGGACGTCGGGGGCCGTGCCTTCGTGACCGTGAGCGGCGAGATCGTGTCTCTCACAAAGGTCGCGCCTGGCACGGACCTCACCGCCTGGGGCCTGGGCCGCCAGCAGTCGCTGCTGAGGGGCGACCCGCGCCTGCTGCCGCGGCCGTGCACCCCGACGCCCGTGGCCTTCACCGCCGACGCGTCCCTGGTCGTGCGCGACCTCAGCGCGCCCTTGCGCACCAAGAGCCCCGGGGCGTTACAGGACTCGGTGAACGAGATGTACTTGCGCCCCCTCGGCGGCTTCACCGCAGCCCATGACAGGTGGCTGATGGAGTCGAAGGTGCCCGCTGGATCGCGATCTGGACATGAGCATCGTGTCCTGTGTCGCGCCCTCACCTTTGCGATGGAGTCGGACGGGCTCAACATCGCGGACCTGTCCTGCTGCGAGTTCCTGAACCGCCGCCGGATGCTGCTCGAGACCGCTCATCGCGATGACCCCGAGCGGCCAGCGTTCGAGGGCTCGCACATCTACATGGGCGAGGACGAAGAGGGCACGGGCGCGTCGGCGACGCCCGCCCTTCGGGCACACGTCGCATCCGAGACGTCGAGGGAGTGTGCGATCGAGAAGGAGAAGAGGAAGGCGCGCGAGGCCAAGGCAGAGGCGAAGTCGGCGGCGGCCCGGAAGAAGGGCCCGCCGCCGGCGTCATGACCGCCTCGGCCCAGGGAGGGGGGATGGGCACGATCCCTTCTGGAGACCCCCCTCCCTTCGCAAACTCCAGCCAGACACGCAGGGACCGCTGGCGCTGGGGAGACGCGCAACGCCGCGACGCCCCTCCGTCAGATCACGTTGGCCCGCGGCCCGCGGCCTCCAGGTGGACCTCGCGAGCTTTTTCCCCCACCCATCGTCGGCGCAGAGGAGCCGACGAAGGTGTGCGCCGGGGCGCCCAGGACGGCCCGACGCCGCAGCACTTACCGCCGGCTGGCCCTAGACGATGCAAACGACATGGTGGCCGCGCTCAGCGCCCTCTACGGCTGGACACCTGCTGCACACCGCCAGGGAGGCCCGGCAGAATTTTGACCAATTTCTACCCCATGAGGCTGCGGTTCAGCTTCTGGGACCTCGTATCGACTATGGGGGCGATGGCAGCGCAGTGCAACCTTATGACGCCGAGCGGCTATCTCTCCCACCCTCCGGGCGGGACCCGGTGGACATCGCGAAGGTTTTGGACGTAGATGTTCGGAAGGTGCTCACCAACTTCGACAACCTCATCCTCGCGAGCCCGGACGTCGTTTCCGAGCGTAGGGAGCGTGCACCTTCGCGCCCCTACTTCGACGTCACCTTACAGGCTGACAAGAAGGCCTATGTGGATTTTCTCTGGCGCCTGATGGATCGACGCCTACTTGGAGTGGCGTCGGAGACGCTTAGTCTCGTGACCCCCTTCTTCGTGGCCAAGAAGAACGGGAAACAGAGGCTCGTGCTGGACTGCCGGCTCGCTAACACCCTCTTCGCCCATGCCCCCACCGTCGAGATCGGGAGCTCCGAGGCGATGAATGCTATCGAGTTGGAGCCCGGCCAGGAGCTGCACGCCGCCTCGGCCGACATCGAGGCCTGCTTCTACCAGTGCGGCGGCATCGGGATGCTGAGCAACTACTTCTGCCTGCCCTCGGTGTCCGTCGACGTGGCCCTCGAGCTCGGCCTGACCGCGGACGTCCGCGGCCAGTATTTCGCCGGGCGCGAGAGGGTTCACCCCTGCCTTGTTGTCCTTCCCATGGGATGGAGCTGGAGTTTCTGGCTGGCGCAGCGCGTCCACTTGGAGATGCTGCGCCGTGCAGCGGTCCCAGACGACAGGATCGCCCTCGGGGCCTGGCCGCTGCCGTCTATGACTTCAGGTCCCGCGGAGTTGCCCTACTCGGACAACATCAACGCGCTGGGTGTGGAGGCTGACGAAGTCACCGAGCTAAGAGACCGTGTCGCGGCCCGCTTCTCCGACGAGGGCCTCAGCATGCACGAGATCTCAGATACCTGCGCACAACCAACTATCCTGGGCGCCGACGTGGGGGGCCACCCGCCCGTAACCAGGCGCGCCGGGCACAAGCTGTGGGTGCTCCGAGGCGCCCTGCAGCGGCCCCATCGTGACTGGCCGGCAAGTTGAAGTGGTGGTCGGTCACTGCGTCGCCGCAGCTCTTTTCAACCGTGCAGGGATGTCTGTCCCTCGCGCTCTATATGACTTGATCCGTGATCGTTATTTGAGGCCTTGTCGACTCTGGCGCTCTTGCCGTTACGAGGCGTGGAGTTTCTCGGCCGTCGCGGCGCTGCTGGGGAGCCAGTTAGACAGGCCATGGTCGTCGACCGTGACGGCCACCGATGCTTCTACGATGGGCTTCGGAGTGCGCGAGAAGAAAATGGAATCCTCCGAAGTTTCAGAGCTTGGAAAGCGGCATGAGAAGTGGAGGTTCAAACGTCTCCAACCCGAAGAATGGGCCCCCCGAAGGAGAGCTCTCGACGATTTCCCTGAGATCACCGATCCTGCTACCGTCCTCACCAACAATGTCATCGACGGGTGAGCAAAAGTCGCGGGGTTCCCGGAGGTCCCTCGTCACGCACTACATAAAGAGGTGTGGAGGGTTATCTACAAGGGGCCATATCGCTACATCGAACACATCGGGCTGAAGGAGGGGAGGGCTATGCCATGGGCTCTACGTCGTCTCGCCAAGGACCCCCTTCCAATATCATCATCGTCACTTATTCCTGCTCGACAATTTCGGCGCCTGCTGCTGCTGCTTCGATAGGGGCCGCTCGCCGTCATATTGCATGTTACAGTTGAACCGTCGCGTTGCGGCTCTAACCCTGGCCACCGACATCGGCCCGCACTTCCGGTGGATCCCGTCGGAATGGCAGCCAGCCGACGAGGCCTCGAGAACGTTCGAGGGCCTCTCGCTGGCGCATGCTGGGCCCGCTGAGCGCGGCTGGGCGCGGCACCTTCGCGGAGGAGCCGCAGAGCAGCACTGCCCGTCCGCCGGGGCCGACCTCGGTGCCAAGGCCCAAGAGGCGCCGCCTGGCGACCGCCGCAGCGGCCGAGGGGCTGGCGCGCACGTCGAGCGGCCTGGCGGGCAGGCGGGCCCCAGCCAAGAGGCCAGCGGCACGCCGCAAACCCGCCGCCAGCGCCGCCCCCCGCGCGGCGCGGGCGCGGCCAGCGGCGCACGCCCCGGTGCCGCCGCCCCAGCTGCACGCCCGGCTGGCCAAGGCCCTGGAGCCCAACCGGAGCAGCCCCGCCTCGGCCATGGCGCTCTCCAGGTGCGAGCTGGCCGCGGCGGCCGACGCGACGCGCGTCGGCTACAGGGCGTACTCCGATGCTTTTCAGGTGTTCCTCGCCGAGAAGGGGGGAGTGCCTTCGACCATCGAAGACATGGAGGTACGGGTGCTGCAGTTCCTCAACCTCATGCTGGAGGCGGATTGCACCCGGGCCGACGCGACCATCCTGGTCGCAGCTGTCAAGGACGCCTACCCGTGGTGCATAGGCTCTCAGTCGATGCCGCGCGTGAACAGAGGGCTGCGAGGCTACGCCAAGCGCAGGCCCCCTGCCTCCCGGGCCCCCGTCCCTCGGGAACTTCTCGGAGCTGCCGTGTCCGAGATGCTGGCGCGGGCGCAGTGGGACTGCGCGCTCCAGGTGGCGTCGACCTTCTCCACCTACATCCGCCCGGGAGCCCTTCGGAAACTACAAGTACGGCAGCTGTTGGCCCCCATCGAGGGCCTCTGGGCAGTTGCAGTGCTGGAGCCTGATCCTCGCGCCGACCCAGATGAACGCAGGCGCCCCGGGCGATCCGAGGGGCCCCCACCGAGAGCTCACCAAGACGGGCACCTCGGACGAGACCGTGATCCTCGACCACCCGGCCTGGTTCGGCGAGCGCCTGGCGGCCCATGTTCGCGGGAAGGCGCCAACCGACCTGATCTCCCCCACCCCAGGCGCGTTCGTGGCGGCCCAGTTCGGAGTCGCAGCCAAGAAGTGCGGCCCCCCCCGGGTCTGTCTCTACCAGCTGCGCCACGGCGGAGCGTCGGGCGACATCCTGTCGGGCAGGCGGGATCGCAAGACTGTGAAGGCTCGGGGGCACTGGAGGACGGACTCGCCCCTGAACAGGCACGGGAAGCCCGGTGCAGCACACCAACTCCTCAACGCCATGACCCCGGCCTCCAAGGACTTCGGCAGGCAGATGTTCGAGCTGATGGGGTCGCTCTTCCAACGGACCGTCGTCGCAGAGGCGACCCCCAAGTGAGTGGTGCCAGTCCCTTCTCGGCCTGGGGAGACTGGGGTCCGCGAGGCGGCCTCGTCCTCGCTCCTACTGCCCCTCGGCCAGGTTGGATTGTGGCAGAGCTGATGGCTGGCAGTCGCGGCATCAGCGCTGCCTGCAAGAGCGCTGGCTTTTTTTACGCGTAGCTGGGAGCTGGCAGACTCTCCGCTAGAAGACTGCTTGCATAGTGATGTCTCGAGGCGCTTGCTCGACGCTGCCTCTAATAATGTCACTGCTATGCGCTGGATTGGCCTTGCGTGCACGTCCTGGCCCCGTGCGAGGCGGAACCGGCCGGGCAAAAAAGGTTGGCCAGCACCAATTCGTGATCGTGAGCACCTGCTCGGCCTCCCCGACCTTCCCCCCAATGATCGTCGGAAGGTCCTGGAGGGCAACAAACAAGCTAGATGGGCCGCCAAACTCTTCGACACCCTCTCGTGTCTTGGCGTGCCTTGCGTGATCGAGAACCCCGCTTCAAGCATGTTGTGGGAGCTCCCTGGGTTTAAACGTCTGCTGGACAAGTATAGCTCAGTCCAAGTAGACTACTGTGCCTTCGGCACGCCTTACAGAAAGCGCACGACCCTGTTGTTCTCCCACCTGCCTCTGGAAGAGCTCGCTGGGGCCCGTTGCGCTGGGAGGGGAGGGCACTGTTCGTTCTCTGGCCAGCCTCACACCGAGATTGCAGGACGCACTCCGGACAACAAACAGTTGTGGTCCAAGGTCACGTCAGCCTACCCTCCCCAGCTCTGTCTCCACATAGGCCAGCTCCTGAGTCGCTGGTGCCCCACCCACCCGCCCAGAACATGATATGGGTAAGGGTGTGTTTTGAAGCGGACAAGGCCCGCGGATTGCGCAATAGCGTGACTCAAAGCCCCTTTAAATCGTCAGAGCAAGCCCTGCGTCTGCTGCAAAAAAGAATGTCCCCCTCCGCCCACACTCATGCATCTGTGTACAGGTTAGTGAGTGCCAGGAGGGGGGCTGGGAAGCGTGGTCTTCCGTAATCATTGTGCTCTGGGTCTCTCTTGTGCGTCCCGCCTTTTTCCCCCCCTCTCTACACGGTGTGTTTTGAAGCGGACAAGGTTCGCGGATTGCGCAATAGTGTGATTTAAAGCCCCTGTAAATCGTCAGAGCACGCCGTGCTGCGTCTGCTGCAAAAAGGAATGTGCCCCTCCGCCCACACTCATGATCATCATCATCAGCAGCATCCTCATTACCAGCATCAACAACATCATCAGTATCAGCAGCAGCCGCAGCAGTAGCCATACCACCACCATCCTCAGCAGCATCACCATCATCGACATCATGAGCGTCAGCATCCTCATTGTCCTCGTCGTCATCATTATTATCGTCATCAGCATCATCATCACCGTCGTCATCATCTGTATCATCAACACCATCATCATCAGCAGCATCAGTATCAGCATCATCAGCATCACCACCATCAACATCATCAGCATCATCATCGTCATCAGCATCGTCATCATCAGCATCAGCAGCAGCATCATCATCATCATCATTATCATTCTCATTAGCAGTATCAATATCATTATCATCATCAGTCGTATGGTCATTATCATTATTATACTATTAATCTTAGCATTTGTATTATTATTGTTGTTAGTATTAACATTATTATTCATTGGTGTACGCCACACCGCCGACCCCCTGGGGCGGCCCCTGCGTGGCCTGTCCGGACAGCTTGTGGGGCCCTTCTGGACACGTTTTGGAGCCTTCTTAGGACCGTCCTGCCGTTCCCCCGGGCCGTTGCTATGGTTTCTGGGGCCTTCGTGGGGCGCCCGGAGGCCCTCGTGGAGCCTTTTGGAGAGTCTCTTGGGGTGCCAGAGGTCGGTCTTGGAGGTTTACTGGGCCGTTGTGGGCCTCGTGGAAGCCCAAGAGGCGAATATGCTGAAAATGTACGCTTTTCCCTGGGAATGATACGATTTTTGCTTCTGGAGGCCTGCTTGGAGAGCGCCTGATGGTCGCGTATGCAAACGTCTTGGACTCCCATGGGGCTGTCTGGAGGCAATCTTGGACAGTTTGGACCGAATCGTCCCCCGCGTGGGCCGTCTGGACAGCCTTTGGGAGCCCTCTCGGCCCGTTCTGGAGCCCTCTTGGGACCGTCCTTCGGGTTTCCTAAGCCGTTGATATGGTTTTTCGGGAGCCTTCGTGGATCGCCCGGAAGCCGTCTTGGAGCCTTCTTGGGAGCCTCTTCGGGTGACAGGGGTCGATCTTGGAGGTTTCTTGGGCCGTTGTGGGCCTCGTGAAAGCCCAAGAAGCGAATGTGCTGAACATGTAAGTTTTACCTAGGGAATCGGGCGGGTCTTGCTTTTGGAGGCCTTCTTGGAGCGCCTCGTGGTCGCGTTTTCAAACGTCTTGGACACCCATGGGGCCGTTTGGCGGCGATCTTGGGCGGTTTAGCCTTTGGGGGCCCTCTTGCTCCGTTCTGAAGCCCTCTTGGGACCGTCCTGCGGCTTTCCTAAGCCGTTGCTATGTATGGTTTCTGGGGCCTTCGTGGATCGCCCGGACGCCGTCTTGGAGCCTTTTTAGGAGCCTCTTGGGCTGGCGAGGGTCGATCTTGGAGGCTTCTTGGGCCGTCTTGCGCCGCACGGAAGCCGAATGGGCGAATGTGGTGAAAATGCACGTTTCCCCTAAGAAATGGGAGGATGTTTGCTTCTGGAGGGCGATTTGGCCAATGTCCCGTCGTGGCGCTGGCGACGCCCAAGTGTTGCGTCGGGCATGTCCCTCTACAGGAGGAATATCCAAGAATGGTGGAAAATAGTCTGGGTACGATTTTTCGTGCTCTTCTGGTTATTGTTTGACAATCGTTCGACTATGTGCTATTTTTCCACCAATATCCGCCTGTATTAGGACATGCCCGTTAGGTGTCGAGTGCAGCACCGTTTCGTCAGAGACGCCCGCGGGGGCCCCAGCCGGGCCGAACTCGTCTCGCTTCCGGGGCGGTGATCGAGAGCCCAGGTTTGGAAACGCGGCTCCTCCTCTTTCGCGTGTCCACGGGGGTCTTTCTCATCGTCGTCGTCGTCAACGTCGAGCTCGTCGTCGAGCTCGTCGTCGAGCTCGTCGTCGTTTGTCGTCGTTTTGTCGTCAATCGGCCAGTCGAGGTCCGAGGTGCGAGCAAGGTTTGCCACACGTTCGTCCTCCAGGGGCCCGTTGTGGGGTCCCCGTGGGCCGTCCAGGATCGCTCCGGGGCGGGAGGCTGCCCTCGGTGGACCACCAGAGGGGTCGTGGGATCGGGTTTGTCGGGCGTTGCGCAACGAGGGGGCGATAAATGGGGGGGAGAGGAGTGCACCTTTCGTGCACCCTTTTGGGGGCCCCTTCTAGGGTATCGAAGGCGCACCCTTTCTGCACTCCCTCGTGGATCGCCGCTCCCCCCCTCATTACGCAACGCCCGATTTTGGGCGGATTCCAGCAGTCATCGTCGTCGTCGTCGTCGCCGTCGCCGTCGTCGTCGTCGTCGTCGCCGCCGTCATTCGTTCGTTCGTTCTCGTTCATTCGTTCGTTCGTTCGTTCGTTCCTCGTGGTCGTCGTTCGTTTGTTTGTTCGTTCGTTCTTTCGTTCGTTCGTCCGTCGTCGTCGTCGTCGTCCGTCCGTCGTCGTTGTCGTGCGTCCGTCGTCGTCGTCGTCGTCGTCGTCGTCGTCGTCGTCGTCGTCGTCGTCGTCGTCGTCGTCGTCGTCGTCTGCGGTCGTCGTCGTCATCGTCGAGCGTACCGTGAGCCGTCTTTTGAGGCGTTATGTATCTTCTTCGGGCTTCAAGGGGGGGGGGATGGCTTCTCGCAGTCACGCTGGGATCCGCCTCGAGGTTCTGGCGGCCCCCCCTGGCGTCGCTAGGAAGGGGGGTCCAGAGCAGATCCAAGAAATCCGCGCGGAGCGACAAAAGTGTATGTTTATGCCGTTTTGTCTTCTATCCTCCTTCCTCTTCTCCCTCCGCCCGAGTCCAGGGCTGTTGCAGGTTCCTGCCATCATCGCTACACTGCCAGATGGATTGTTAACCTGCGTTACGGTCGGTCAGATACCATCTCGGGCGAAGAAAGACTAAGCGGAGCGGGAGGTGCGAAGAAGAAGCGGAAAAGTGGCGACGCCGATTGGGGCGAGGGCATTCGTATTGCGACGATGGCAAAGATCGGCCGCCGACTCTTCTTCCTTTTCTTCCTTCCCCTCAAATTCCCCCTCCTCTCTCATCCTCTCCTCATTGTCCCCACCCGTCCCTGTCCAAGTCTCTGCAGTCGCCGTTGCCGTCGTCGTCGTCGTCGATCAGTCTAAGTTCGATCAGGATTCGAACAGGTTTAAGCTATGTTCTGCTTACGGAGCCCTGTTTCAGACCCCCCCGGAGCGGAGTGTGGCGGTCGGCATCGTTGGCGGCGCTTTCCGCATATGTTGACAGGACTTCGGGGTCTCTCCGGAGGCTTTCTCGGAGGCTCTCCCGGAGGCTCGCTGGGAGGCTCCCGGGGATCTCGTCCTCGAGCTCGTCGATCTCGTCTTCGTCGTCGATCTCGTCGTCGTCATCGAGCTCGTCGTCGTCGATCTCGTCGTCGTCCTCCTCGTCGATCTCGTCGTCGTCGTCGTCGAGCTTGTCGATCGGGTCGTCGTCGTTGTCGTCGATCTCGTCGTCGTCATCGATCTCGTCGTCGTCCTCCTCGTCGTTGTCGCGGAGGTGGCGCCGCGGAGCCCCCCCGGCTGCCCAGGCTGAGCGGCAAGCCGCCCCACCCCACCCCCGCGCGGTGGCCGAAAGACGCACCAACAGGGGAGTGGGCCTCCCGCTCGTCCACCTCCTCGTCCTTGCTCCTCGTCCTTCCTCGTCCTAGTCCTTGTGCTCGTCCTCCTCCTCCCCCTCCTCCTCCTCCTCCTCCTCCTCCTCCTCCTCGTCGGTGTCCTCATCCTCCTCGTCCTCCTCCTCGTCCTCCTCCTCCTCGTCCTCATCCTCCTCCTCCCTTGTCCTCCCTCCTCCCCCTCCCTCCTTATCATCCTCCTTCCTCCTCCCCTGTCCTCCTCCCTCATCCACTGCCGCAAGACTTTGGGCCCTGGCCATCCTGACCAGCTCCGATCCGCTCGGGGACGCGCGCTCGTCCTCCTCCTCGTCCTCCTCCTCGTCCTCCTCCCGCCGCCGCTTCGTGTGGGGGCGGGGGATGGGGGAGGCCTCAGGCCTCGAGTTTTCCAGCGGTGTGCGGAAAGGGGTATTCGATAATCCACAACCTTTCCACATCGGTTAGTGTGAGATAGAAAAGTTTCCGAGATCAGGCCACATGTTTTTTATCTGCGGGGCGAGAGCGAACCTCTTCCGCTAAAAGCTAGGCGGGCTACGCACAGCTTTGATTAGGGAGACAGGGCACAGGAAGGCGGGGCCTCCGAAATCATGCCACATGTAGTGGGGTCGTCGAGGGAGGAGGCTTGCGTGGGAAATCGGCAGGTCGCGGGTCTTCGAACGATGTACCCACAACGTTTGTCGTAATATGTGTCAGCGATCGATATCATGTCACCCGTATTGGGGTCGTCCAGGGAGGAGGCTTGCAGGGGAATTGGGAGGCCTCAGGTCTTCCAACGATGTACCCACAATGGTCATCGTAAGATAGACAAGCCATCGAAAGCATATCCCCTGTATTGGGGTCGTCCAGGGAGGAGGCCTGCAGGGAAATTGGCAGGTCTCATATGTTCGGACGATGTATCCACAACGGTTATCGCAAGATAGAACAGCCGCCGAGATCATGTCACCCGTACCGAGGTCGTCCCGGGAGGAGGCGTGCGGGGCAATCGGGGCGCTCGCAGGGGTTGGATCAGCGGCTGCAGGCCAAGTCAACGGCACAAAAAGAAGACGGGTGAAGGGAGGGGAGGGGGGGGAAGCGGGATAAGGCAGGGGAGGCTGGAGGACAAGGTGGAAGGGGGCGGGGAGGGAAGGGGAAGGGAGGGGATGGGGGAGCGGGATGAGGAAGGGGAGGATGGAGGGAAACCCAGTCCTCCTCCTCCTCCTCCTCCTCCTCCTCCTCCTCCTCCTCCCCCTCCTTGTCATCCTCCTCCTCCTCATCATCCTCCTTCGCCTCTTCCTCCTCCTCCTTCCTCCTCCTCCTCCCTCCTCCTCCTCCGCCTCCTCCTGATCTACGCCTTCCCCCCTTCCCCCCTCCTCCCCCCCCCCCCCCTCGCCCACGGGGCGTCGTCGCCACGCTTCGGGCCCCACCACCTGAAGCCTCCGGGGGTCTCTGGAGGCTTCGGGCTGGAGGGGCCGAGGGCTTTCAAAACCCAGGCGTTCGATCCTCCATCCATTTCGATCCGATCGATCCGATCTTATGTCGGCTCCTGGCCGTCTGGATCCCGGTCGACTTCCGCGTTTTCAACGAGCCGATGCGCCCCGATGTTCGCCTGACGCTGCTGTACATCCTGTGCATCCTGGCGCGGCCGATCCGATCCGACGCCGGCCCCGTGGCGATGCAGCCTGATTCGACGCACATGTCGATTCGATCCGATTACCCGATTCGATGCCAAAGGGTCTTGATTTTCGTCTCCTCCTCCTCCTCCTCTTCCTCTTCCTCTTTCTCTTCCTCCTCCTCCTCCTCTTCCCCCACGTCCCGCATCTTCACCCGTCCTCATGCTGCTGGACTGTTTTTGTTTCCGCCTCCTCTCCCACGCTCCCCTCTTCGCCCACGCGCCCACGTCCTCCTCCCTCCCATCCCTCATCCTCCAATGTGTCATGAACAATTCCTCGCTGGCGCACCTCGAGGCGTGTCGGTAGGGCGGGCTGGGCGTTCCGCTTGAAACTTCTCCTCGCCACTTATGATCTTGAAGCTTGAACTGTGCGAGTGCTTCACGGATAGAGAGTGGAGGGGGGAGTAAAAATGCGGTTCTCGCCTTAGCGCCGCGCGCATTCGTTTTAAAAGTGTGCCAGAAATTTACGGATGGAGGGCAATGGTTTTCAAAATGTATATCTCGCCGCAGCGCCGCACACATTTGTTTTTAAAGTTTGCACGAGGTTCACGGATGAGGGGCGGGTCGTTTTCCAAATGTGGGTCTCGCCGCAGCGCCGTTCATAGTCGTTCTACATGTTCGCAAGAATTTCGCGGATGGAGGGCGGTTCTTTTTTACAACACGGCTCTCGCCGTAGCGTCGCGTTCATTAGACGCTGAAAAGTTGGCAAAAGCTTCACGGATGGAGGGCGGCTCCTTGTCAAAATGTGGTTATCGCTTCACCGCCACGCAGATTCGTTTACAAGGTGTACAAGAGCTTTACAAATGGAGGTCGGGTGGTTTTCAAAATGTGGATCTCGGTTGAACGCCGCGCACATGTGTTGCGAAAGTTTGCAAGAGGTTGGAGGGTGGGCGGTTTTCAATACATGGCTCTCGCCTCAGCGCCGCTCACAAGCGTTTTACAGGTTCGCAAGAGCTTCGCAAATGGAGCGCGGCACCTTTTCAAAATGTTGTTCGCGCCTTGGTACTGCACACATTCGTTCTAAAAGTGTGTCGGAGCGTCAAGGATGCAAGGCGGTTCCTTTTCAGAATGTGGTTCTCGCCTTCGCGCCGAGCACAGTCTTTTTAACAATTACAACTATTCGGCGGATTCTTACTGTTGACGTCCTAGGAATAGTGACTTGGCATGAAGTCAGATTGCCAGGTCGCAGAAGTCACGTTGATTTGCGGTGTTGAAGTCCAGGAGTGGTGCTCTGGCACAAGGCAGGATCGTCAGGACGCAACAGTAAAGTTAATTTGCTGCGTTAAGGTCCAATGGGCGGCATTTCGGCACGATGGAGGATTATCAGACGGTTGTCTTCCAACGGGGCACTTCCAGCAAAGAAATATATTCTTGTAGGGACCTATGACGAGGGAATTCGGAGGGAGGATTTACACTGGTCCTTCTCCTCCCCCCTTCTACCCCCCACATCCCCCTTGTCCCCCGCGCCCCACTCCCCTGATCTTGTCATCCTCGTCTCCCAGGCTCCCCCTCCTCACCCATCCTCCTCGTGACTGGCCTGATTTTTATATTTCGCGCCTCCGGACCCGCGCGTGGCGGGCTAAAAATGAGCTGCAGGCCGCCACCGCCAGTCCCGCATGCTGGCCTTCTAGGGTGAGCCGCGCTGCGCGTCAAGACGCCGCGCCTGGCGCGGCCTCCACGGGCTTTGTTGCTGCTACTCCCCTTCCTCCTTGCTCCGCCCGTATCCCGCGCGCTCGTCATTCCCGTCCGTGCGCCTCCTCCTCCTCCTCCTACTCCTACTCCTCCTCTTCCTCCTCCTCCTCCTCCTCCTCCTCGTCGTATTCCTCCTGCCATGATTGAAACATGCAGCTACCTAGGTGTTTACATCGGACCCTTGGCTACGCTCGTCTTGCAGCAGCGAGCAGCTGCCCAGAAGTGGTGTGCGCGCGTCCACCTCCAAGCTGCTGCAGCCAGCGCCACAATGGCGATCAATGGCTTTACTTCTGTCACTTGGACGATGCTTGTGCCGTCGTATTTCGACCAGTTGTTTTGCAGGCGATTGTAGAATACTGCGACACTAGATCTACAAATTGCACGAGGTCTGCAGGTTACCCCTGGACTCGTTCGTTCAAGCTGGCCTAATTCCACTCTCTCTCTCTCTCTCTCTTTCTCTCTCTCTCTCTCTCTCTCTCTCTCTCTCTCTCTCTGCTCGTCGCTTACACTGCAGCCCCGGCGTAGCGCTCGTGTTCTCTCACGATTGACAGGATGTGGTGCCCCAGGCTGGATGCGCTCACGATATTGCCGAGCTGCATTGACCCAGTGTGCGGTGGTACTGTGGTGCCGTGGATTCCTGAGCCCGCTCTGTTAGCAGCAGCAGCAGCAACAGCATCAGAGCAAAGCAGAGATGTGCCCATCGATGGCTAGTGGCCGCCCCATTCACATTTCCTCTTGCCAGACCATCCCTGTCGCTTGCCTGCGCGCCGCCTGGAGGGCCCACATTGTAGCGAGCAGGCGGTCCAAGCCGCACGTGACGGCCAGCGGCCCAACTTACAGCGGGCCGTTGCTCAAGCTCTGTCTCTGCCAGTGTTCCCAGGACCTTTCTCCTCCACATTGCCGAGCGCCTCAAGGTGTCTTGCATCCCTCCTCCGACGTGCCTTCCGACCTGGGGCTCCGCTGGCAATTTCCGCGGCGTGAGCTCACACATACCGCCCCTGCTCATCAACGGTGCGTGGTCACGGCGCCCTGCGCGGGCTGGATCGCTTCCCACAGAATGCACGTCTGTAAGTCGCGACCTTGCCACTTCGGATGTTCGGCGCGGGAACCGATGTGCCATTAATTGGCGATACCCCCATCCTACGCGCTTCAATCCCCTTTCCCGCGCCTTTGAACGCCTCCGCTTGATCTTGATTTGGGGACTGGGATCTGAGCAGCAACACGTCCCAGCAGACGATGTTCGGCCAACGGCCATTGGCAGAGTTGTCTTCGCCCTCGACCTCTTCCGCACAGTGAGATCCGAGTTCGCCGCTCTGCCCACAGCGGGGGCACAGCGCGGATGCCAAGAAGTCCGCACGGAGAGTCGAAAGTCTAGGCTCATGGCGTGCTCTCTTCTTCTGGAGGAGGAGGAGGCCTTCTCGGAGGGCAGCGGGACTTCTCAGAAGCCCCCGCGCGCCGCCCGAAAAGCTCGCTGCGTCCTCGGGGCGATCCCGTGGCTCTCCTCCTGCCGCTCACCGCTGCCTTCCAGCAGCACGCCGGAGCTCCGAGCCCCGAGGCTCTGTCCTCGCCGGGTCTGTCCTGAGCCGGGTGGCCACGATAGGTTCGCGTCGTGTCGACTTCCCTCCTCCTTCCTCCTCCTCTCCTCCTCTCTCCTCCCTCCTCCGTCTCTCCTCCTCTTCCCTCCTCCTCTTTCTTCATTCTCCTGTCTTCCTCCTGTCTTCCTCGTTTTTCCCTCCCCTCTCTGGCCGTTCCCCTGTACACCGCTGGCGTTCCACGGTTCGGCGACTACAAAGGGTGTGGTTACGCCGGGGTGTGGTTTGCGATCGGCACTGTCGGGGCCTGGGGGGCACGACACGGTCCTCGTCGGGCCTCCTCGGGGCGCGGCGGAGAGCTCTGTCGAGGTCCTCGCCCGCCCCCCAGGGTGCCCCTCAGGGTGCCGGGTGCAAACCACACCCTTTGCAAACCACACCCTTCGGAGTCGCCGAACAATGGACGCCCCCCGCGACCCAGAATCGGTCGATGTTGAACGGCTGACGTTTCAGAAACGGTCAAGGGTGAACGATCCCCGCGGTGCCACGCTGGAGTCAACACGGCACGAACTTGCCGCACAGCGTCTAGCAAAGCAGGTCGTCTGCGCCCATTTGGGAACAGAATTTCGTGACATGTTCGTTGCATCGAGGCTCTGCGCAGCAGGGCATACCTTGTTACAGGGGTGAAGATATCCCTTGGGTACACATTGTTCATTTCTAATGGTTCGAAAGTTCTCTGTTTTTTGGCGGGGCCAAGATCCTTTCATTTCTAATTGTTCCATCCTGGGCCTCTTCCTGGCCACTAGGGGGCCAGGAACAATTAGAAACGAGCACAATTCGAAGTGAGCACGATTAGAAGTGAACGACGTATAGAGTGGGCGTTACCACTGAGCGCACCGCTCGGCTTCCCGCCGAGAGCCTCCCAGAGGCATGGCCTTTTAGTATAGTTATCAATGTTTCTCCGCTCGTTCGGCCGCCCAGGACGGCGGCAATTTAGACTGCTGCGCCGATTGCTATCCTGCCCGCGTGGCTGATAACTGAAAGGTATGGGCCAGCTCATGGCGGGGGTGGCTGTTGATGGATAGGGTCAGGATGTTCCAGCCTACTTTAGCCTGGATCACCTACAAGATTTTCGAGCACCGGGAAAGCACCGAAATTGGAGGGTTTTCACGTGTCGGGTCCTGAGAGGCCAAATGTTGTTCGACATTGTTTCGACATTTTTCTGGGTGCTCGAAATTATTTCTGGGTGGGTTTGGCGCTACCATTAAACCCACCGATCGGCGCCGTGAGAGGTGCTTCGCAGATGCTATTCATGTCGTGTAGTATTCAGGCCCTTCGCCAGCCTCGACTCGACATCTCGGGCTTCTCGCGTGGCGGTCCTTCTTCGGTCGGTCATCGTTTGCTTCGGTCTACTGCTCGATCATGGCGTGGATCTTCTCTGGCGCCATCCTCACTTCGGATGGACCGGCGCGCGCCACAGGTTTGGTCTACTCCTCCTCCTCCTCCGCCTCCTCCTCCTTCTCCTCCTTCCTCTTCCCTCCATCATCATCACCATCGAACAAGCAGCATCATCACCATCAGCATCGTCATCATCACTGGTATTGTCCTCATGGTTATCTTCTCATGTTCGTCAGCCCCGTCCTCCTCCTTGCGATCGTCGTTAGTATAACCTTCCGCGTGCTGACCATCATCCTTATTTACACCTCCTCTGCTTTCCTCTTCTCTGTTTCCTTATCCTCCCGCTCCTCCTCATCATCACATCGTCTGCAGCAACAACATTATCATGATCAGCATCGCCTGCACGCCCTTCATCCTCCTCCACCTCCTCCTCCTCCTCCTCTACCTGGTTTGTGCTTTCCTTCCCGATCTTCAGCCTCATGGTTGGTGTTATCCTCATCTGTTTCCTCCTTCTCTTCCCCATCATCATCACCATCATCATTAGCAGCATCATCATAATCATCGTTATCCCCATCATTATCCTCCTCTCTGCCATGCGCGGGGCACTGGCTCGAAGTACGCGCCTCGTGTTGGCAGTCGCGCCACACCCCGCGCTGGCTCTACAGTGCCCATTTGTTTCCCCCAGCTTGCAGCCTCGCTGACCCATTCCCGCCCGTGAGGATTTCAATCCCAGGCCATGGATTCCAGTCTTTCTGACATCCGCCGCTTCGATCTTTTCAATCCGCGCGCCGCTCCGATCTTGTCGGCCTGCGGCCGCAGAGGTCCCCACCGCTTCCCTGAGAGCAGCTCTCCGTCCCAGAACGGTTTTCTTTATTGCCCCAGGTGCGGGCAAGATGTTGATCCATATCCACTGCGTCTTGGAGT